CAGGGCAAAGGATGGCAGCAGGCTGGGCAGTGGAGGGTCTCTGGGGATGGCTCTGAAGCTACTGGGGTTGGGGAGGGGACACAAAGACTGAGCTGTGTCCTCAGAAGCTTTATGCCTGAAACCCCCTAGGGTCTAGCCCCTAGTGAGAAAATGAACTCAGCCCCACCCAGGGATGCTGGGCCTCCTGCCTGCCCTGTCTATCTGCAGACCTTAGCCCCTGGGCAGGAGTCCTTGTGGTCAGCAACACCCTGTAGCTTAGGCCCAGAAGGCATCCATGCCTATAATCTCCCCTGCTCAAAGCTTCTCACCCTTTTTCAGTTTCTGCCGAGGACCCAGGACAGCATCAGGGACTGCCTCTTGGGTAACCACTGGGATTAAGGTCCTGGAAAGGTCCCAGGTGTGCCCTGGACTACCCTTCACTGCCACCCCTTTTCTCTGATACATAGGGGAGGGGAGGAGTGCTCCTGCTCTTAGAGCAAGTTTTCCTCCCTCCCTAGAACTAGCATATCCCTCCTTCTCACCCCTGGGGAAGAAGTGGCTTGCCCTGGCCCAGGTGCCTGCCAAAGGCTGGCCTCAGACCTGTGGGATCCACCCAGGCTGGAGTCCTCCACCAACATGGAGGCCCTTCTATTTTTGCAGCCCCCTCCCGAAGTCTACAAGGAGCATCAGGGAAGGCGGCGGATGATGTTGGCAGTGAATGTGCCAGCTCCATGGACCAGGCACCTCTGGCCCAGTGACAGAGAAAGACATGGAGGGGCTCTGCTCTCTGACTGCTGAAAGGGCCTCAGTCCCAGGGTGGCTGGGCTACTGCACAAAGAGGGCTTGTCTTGCCCAGACACCCAGTTGGCAGAGCTTCCTGTCTCACCAGGACCTCAGCCCCTGCCTTTTCCCTCCAAGGCCCGGGTCTGGACCACATCCTCCTTGTTCAGAGGTTTGGATCAGAAATAAAGGCACTTCCTGGTCACCAGTGGGCACACTTGGTGGAGATTCAAGGGACTGAGGACAATTTTGGTTCTACTCGTGACCTTCCAGACTGTCCTTAGAACCCAGGCTGACCAAGCCAGAGTGCCAGGTGGGTGGCCACTTCGAGGTTTGGCACTGGGGTGGGGATGGAGAGTGACTGACTGGGGGGGGTGGGAACACTGAAGGATGGGGCTGTCAGGTGCTGTAGTGTTTACCCTTCTGCTGCCCCTGCCTAGGGACCCCCTCCCTACTGTGCCTCAGCCTAGGCTACTTAAGGAAGGACCAGCCTCTTCTCCATGGCCTTCCTCTTCTACACTTCTCCTTGGGCCTTAATGGTATGATTCCTGAACCTGTCAACCCCCCCCCCCTAATCTGGGTGCAGTAGGGCACAGGGTTAAGTGTCCTATTCCAAATTGGATCTTATTAACTCCTTAAAAAATCCCATTTTACAAATGAGGAAACTAAGATGCAAAGTGAGATGCTCAATGCCAGTTTTGGGTCTTTGAAGGGACCTTTTAGGCTAGGAGGCCACCGAGCTGGTAACAGAGCCCACACAGGAGGTTACATGGGCAGGCACCTTTTCCTGCTCCATGTGAGTGTCTCTTCCCTCCAGCAGGTCCATGACAAAGTCTCTGGGCACTGTGCCATCCCTGGGGTGGGCAGGGGGGCTGCTGACTGCTCAGGGCAGGCTGGTATGGCAGAAAGCTGCCCTGCCCAGGGCCAACTCCCCTGTCCCCCCCCACCGTGGGCTGTCCTCCCAGGTTCCCAGCTGGCCTCCTGCCCTTGGCAGGCCTGAGCCAGACCTGAGGAAGTTCAGGGCCAGGCAGAGGGGAGCCTCCTTGAATGTTAGCTCCACGAAGTCCACAGGCGCCAGTGGGTGGGCCAGTACCCTTTCCAGCTTCAGGGTAGGTGGACACCCAGGGCCCTCTGTTCTCTCCTAGTCCCAGTGCTGACTTCCAGGACCAAGGCGCACTTCCTCCACAGGCCTTCCTTCTTAAAATAGCCCACCCCCCCAAAGGGGAGAGGTGTGCGGGGCACGTTTGGGAGAAGCAGGCAGCGTTCTCCCGCGAGCCTGCTCTGATATTAAATGCTCTGATATTAAACACATGAGGCCAATTTGGGCCCAGCATGTCCCCATGGGCCCTTCTCACGTCCTTCAGGATCCTCCCTGTCCCCTGCCCTCCCCGTGGGGTCAGGAGCCCGGGACAGAGACTCGGGAGCGAGAGCCTGGACCTGGTGGGGGCGGTGGAGCGGGAAGTATTGCGACACCCGGGCTGTGGGGTGAGGGAGCCCGTCAGGCAGAGCGCCGGCCAGCTTGAACCCGCACCGCTCGGCTCGGAGGCAGGGACTGTTGCAGCCGTGTAAACACGACCTGCCTACGTCCCCGCAGCGGTCAGACAGCGGGGTCGACCGAGAGGCCCCCACGACACCACTCTGCAGCTCACCGTCTACTAGGGCACTCCGAGGCCCCAGCACGCGCCGCGCGAGCCAGGATGCGGGGTCCCGGCGTCCGAGGCCTCAAACTGACCACTGCCCTCGCGCGGAGCGCAGCGGACACGGGCGGGGAGGAGCCAGAGGCTGCCCCACCCCTCCCGTGGTCCCGTCCCCAGCGCGAGGCCACGCAGTATCATTCTGTGGCTCCCCCTGGCGGTCACCAGGGCCACTGCACCGTGCGTTCTGAGGTGGGCGCCCAATGCTCTGCAATGTTGGCAGGAAGGATGGAGACTCAGAGCAGGCACTACCCCTGCCGTGCCCTGCATCCGGTGGAGGAGTGGAAGATAAAACCAGGGGCTCCTGACCTCAGATAGGGCTCCACCCTGGACCCAGAACAGTGTAGGTGGTTTGAAGCCTCTGGCATCTGAATTCTGCTGTCACTGCCTGACTCAAAAAGAACCCTAGGAGAGGCAGGCAGCTGGTGGTGAGGGTCCTTCTCCTCACCCTCCCCTACCTAGGAGCCAGGTCCTCAACTGAGGTGAGTCCCTTCGGTCCCCCCAATAACTCCACTTTATGGAGTAGTAAACCGAGGCTCAGGAAGTGTTCTGTGCATGGCCCCAGCCATGCTTCTCCCTCTCAATTGCTCCCTGCTCTGTCTTCTGTCCCCTGCCAGGCCAGGCCTGTGCCCCAGCCTCCCCTGAGACAAGGCAGGGACTTTTCTACAGGGATTTTACTGGGAAAGTTAGAGGAAAAAAAACATGGAAACAGAATAAAAGAACAACCACAAGTTGGAAAGTGGACCCAGGCCTGGGGTGTCACTGGGAGCTTGAGAGCAGGCCCCAGGCCCTGGGCACCACCAGCTGTTCAGGCCCCTAGGACTTGAGTGAAGATGACCCATAATTGGAGGTCCAAGGACCCTGATATAACCTGGCTGCACTCATCTTGGGCCCCTACCCCCACCTCTCTCTTTTGGTACAGGGGATTGAACCCAGGGGCATTAACCATTGATTCACATCCTCAGCTCTTTTTTATATTTTATTTAGAAACAGGGTCTCTCTGAGTTGTTCAGGGCCTCAATAAGTTGCTTACGCTGGCTTTGAGCTTGAGATCCTTCTGCCTCAGCCTCCCGAGTTGCTGGGATTACAGGTGTGAGTCACTGCCCCCGGCTCTTGCCCTGTGTCTTGAGTTGTGCTAATTACTTCTCATCTCTCATTTCCTCTAACTGTTGGGGACCAGAGGGAAAGCCAGGCAGAGCTGGGAGCACAGGACCACAAGCCTGCTGTGTTCCTTGGAGGCTGGAACTGCGACTCTTCCCACTCCATAGAGGGGACCCAGGGCTCAGGAGCTAGGTTAGCAAGATGCCTATCTGAAGGAGTGCTGGTGTCTTTGGATCTGAAACGGCCTGTCTGCAGATGCCTGGGCAACATCCTGGGTACCTTCCAGTTTGCTATGGACTGAATATTTTCCCCCCAATTTCATATGTTGAAATCTTAACCCCAGAACATCAGAAGGCGACCTTATTTGGAGATGGGCTCTTTAAGAAAGTAAATAATTAAAATGAGGTCATCAGATTGGGCCCTCATCCAATAGAAAAAGGAAATTGATACAGACATGCACAGAGTGAAAACCAGGTAAAGGTGCTGGGAGAAGGCAGCCACCTACAGACCTTCGAGGAGAGAAACCAGCCCTGCTGCATCTTGGTCTTATCCCTGGTCTGCAGAGCTGTGAGAGAATAAATTGTTTAAGCCCCCGAGTCTGTGGTGCTTTGCATGGTGACCCTGGGACACTAACACACTCAGCATCCTGCCTGGGGCAGCTAGCTGGTTCCAGTCCAGAGTGGGACAGGCCAGAATCTGTCCTCCTTGGATTTTCCCTGACTTTCTTTCTGAGGACGCTTGCTTGGAATCCCCCTGGGAAGGGGTGGGGGCTTCCTCCTCCAGGAGGGCTCTGTGACCCTCCCCACAAAATGCCTTCAACCTGACTTGATGTGGGGGAGTGGGGCCCTTGTCCCTTGGCATCAGGCTCAGCCACACCTCTGCAGTTGTACTGCCCCCGGCCCAGACACTGCCCCTCCTCACTCCTCAGGAATGGAGGGGACAACTACTCCATGGGTGTCCCTGTGAGTGCACTTTTTTCTCTCATCCTGGACTGGGGATAGAACCCAGGGACTCCCTAACCTAGCCAGGCAAAAGTTTCTGCTCTGGCTTTCAACCACAGCAGGGTGCAAGGGGCCTTGGGATGAATTTGATGGATAGGCCTGGTGCTGGAGCCCCTTCCCTCAAGGTAGTGTCCCCTGAGTCAATGCCTGTGCCCCTGGCCTCTGGCCACAGAAGGGGTTGGTGGCAGTCCCTGCTAACATTCACCCCCACTGCCTCAGTCCAGGTCCCAAAAATGGTCCTCTCTCCCTTCCCTCTAGAGGCCTCTGGCCCTCTGTCTCTGCTTCAGTTTGCCAGGGGGATCAAAGGTTGGAATGATTGCCTCTGGAAAAGGGCGGGACTCTTTTGAAAGTGAAAGTATGGGGTCTGGGTTGAGGATGGGGTGGGGGTGGGGGTGGGGCCCAGTGGGCCTGGGCGGTGCTGACCGCGCGGCTGGGAAGTCCCAGCTGTTGGTCACTCGGGCTGTTTTGGAGGTCTCAGGCCTGGACCCGACTCTCAGGGTTTCACTCAGTCGGCTTTTCCAGGGCACCGTCTGCCTGGGCTCAGTGTCTGCTCCCTCAGGTATGTCCTGGTTAGGTGGGGCAGAAGGGCGGACGGGAGCTGCAGATAGCTGGCAGGGACTCAAGGGACTGAAACCACTGCAGCTCTGCTAGTGGCCTTCCAGCCCAGGCTGGCTGGGCCACAGTGCCCGCTCAGCCACAGGGACTCATCCGCCCTCATACCCAGGCAGTCACACACACAAGCAGAAAGCACAGAGACACATGCACAAGACATGAAGGTGTTCATGAAGATGCAGACAGACACAGGTGGACCCTGGAGAAAGCCCCCTGGAGCCCCCTGAGGCACACACCTACTGAACAGTCACACACAGGAGACAGGCCCATGTGCAGACATGCAAAGCTCACGTATACTAAGCGTGGACATATCCCCAGACTCACACCATACCTTAGATCCACTTATCCATTTTCCCTGGGCACCTGCCCTGTACCGGCCCTGGCTGGGGGCTGGGTCAGGTCCATTCCCTGCTCCGCAGGCTCCTGGTCACAGGCAGAGACATCCCAGACTATGTACTTGCCCCTTAATCATGGAGATAGTGTGGCCAGGGCTGGGACTGGACCCACAACAGGAGGTGCTGACTGTGACTTGGGGCTTCTCAGAGGAGGAGCCTCTTCTGCTACGCCCGAAGGAGCAGGCAGCTGGAGAAAGTGTGGCTGAGGTCACAAGTCTGTGCAAAGGTGTGGAGGAGTGGTGAGTGCTTCTGGGGTCAGAGTGGTGACAGGGTGGGGCAGAGCACAAGGGGCAGTTAGGAAGGGCCTCGGATTCCAAGCTAAGGAGGAGGTTGTTCTTCAGGGTGATGGCAGCCTGGGAGCGTTCTGGTTTTTGGCTACTGTGAAGGGGGCCTTTTTGTCCCCACCCCGAGCCCAGTACTAGAGATTAAACCCTGGCATTCTGCCACTGAGCTATACCCCCAGCCCTTTTTATTCTATTTTATTTTATTTTTCAATTTTGAGACAGAGTTAAACCAAGTTGCCCAGGGCGGCCTCAAACTTGTGATTCTTCCTCAAGTCACTGGAAAAACAGACTTTTTTTTTGGATGAACACAACACATTTATTTATTTATTTAATTTAGTTCTGAGAATTGAACCCAGTGCCTCATATGTGTGAGAAAAGTGCTCTACCACTGAGCTATAACTCCAGCCTGGAAAAAAAGACTTTCAAGTGCTTTCTTTTCTTTTTCTTTTTGATACTGGGGATTGAACTCAAGGATGCTCTACCATTGAGCTACATTCCTGGTCCTTCATATTTTTTATTTTGAGTCAGGGTCTCACCAAGTTGTTTAGGGTCTCATTAAACTACTAAGGCTGGCCTCCATCTTGCAAACCCTTTTGCCTCAGCCTCCTTGAGTCCCTGGGATTATAGATGTATGCCACTGTGCCTGGCTTTAAGTGACTTTTTGGGGGAGTACTAGGAATTGTACCTAGGGGCATTTTACCACTGAGCCACATCCCTAGCCCTTTTTTTTTATTTTTTATTTTGAGACAGGGTCTTGCTAAATTGCTGAGGGCCTGGCTACATTACTGAGGCTGGCTTTGAATTTGTGGTCCTCTAGCCTCAGCCTTCTGAGTCCCTCGGATTACAGGTGTGTGCCACTGCACTTGGCTCAAATGACTTTCTTAAAGTGTGTTTTTCTAATAGGCTTTGCTGGGTGTAGGAGAGCTACTGATTGTATTTCCAAAATCAATCCATGAAACTTACCCACCAAACTCTTCTGTTAGCTCTCGTTATTTTCAGTCTCAGATTTTCTAAGCCGATAATCACATCACCAGTGAATGACAGTTTTATCTGTTTCTCCCTAATATTTATAGTTATTATTTATTTTTTCTTGCCTTTTTGCCCGAATTAGTTCTTCTAGGCAAACAACTTAGAATATTAACGGGAACAGACATCCTTGTTCTTTCCCATGTTCTCAGACTTCCCTCTTGCAAGGAAAGCTTTCTAGGCAGGTTGGGGTTTCAGCAAGGCCTCCCTTCTGCTCCAGGAACCCAAGGAGTTCAGGACGGAGAGCGATTAGGAGGCTGTGATCAGGTGGAGGGGGATGGCAGGTGGGAACTGGGGGGGCACTTCTGGCCCAGGTCACAGTGGCCATTTCTGAGCTTTAAAGGATGTGATGGTCCTTCCCAGGGTGGGTGGGGAAAAGAGGGCGCAGTGAGCACTGAGGGTTGACTGAGGACCAGAGCTGCTGTAGAGGGAAGGTCTAGAAAAGAGGCTGGGGTTAGGGAGGGAGGGAAAGCACAGACTTGAATTCTCAGTTACAACCCGGTGACCAGGGTGGGAGTTCCCATGATTGTTCTTCTGTGTGACTTTAGTCCCCTGCCACTGGCCCTGCAACAGATGTGGCAGCCTGACCCAGAGAGTGTGTGGTTCAGGGCCCAGGGCTCAGGCTGGCCTGGGTCTGAAGGACCTTAGAACTCGCCAGTGCGGATCCGTCAGGGAGCTAGGGCACAGAAGGTGGGCCTCCCTGGATGCTCAGCGCAGTGACGGACAGGGAAACAGGAGAGTCAGAGAGAGGCCCCATGGCCATGTTGGGCAGGCTCAGGGGTGGGGGCCCACAGGTCAGCCCAGAGGGCACCAGGGTAGCACCTGGCCAGACCAGCCTAGGGTTGAGGGGGCACCCCTTACACTGAATGGTTCACTCTTTTTCTAGACTGTGCTCTGGGGTGGTAGGGAAGGGGAGATGGACAGAGAGTGCAGGTCAGGAAGGAGGGCCACGTCACTGCAGGGACAGTCCTGAGTGCCCACTGGGCAGTCAGATGGTGAAAGCACATCACACAGCACTGTTGGAGGAGTCTTGGAGGTGGGGGTGCCCTCAGCTCCTGAAACGCAGGTCAGGATTGGCGGACAGAGGAAGGGAGGTTAGGGGGACGAGCCTGAGGAACAGCCTGGAGGCTGACATTCAGGGAGACAGAAAGGAGGCCTATAAGACTGGATGGGCTGGAGCCAGAGAAGGTTCAGTCCAGAAAAGTCTCAGGGTTGGCTTGAGGGCACTAGGGAGCCATGGAATGGCTTAAAGCGAGGAATGATCCCTTTGGACCGGGAAGGTCAAGAATTTGGGGGGAAGCTGCTGGGAGCTTCAGGGTCCCTGGTGCTGTGGTTGCAGGCTGTGGGAGCCCCAAGCCTCTGCCTGTTGACCTCCCTTGAGATCCACCTGCTCAGCTGTCCCACCTTCCCTAAAATCCATCCCTGGGCTCCCTAGGAGAGAACTGCTAAGTCTGACCTCTCTCAGGACACCCCTGTCCTCTATGGGGTCCTCTGCCAGAGAGCTCCGTGGGCAGAACCCTGAGGTCCTGGTGCTGCGGGATGAGGACAGCAGAGCCTCTGCTCCCTGTTTCCAGGCAGACCTGGCTCAGCCCTGGCTCTCCCACCCCTGAGCCGATGGCTTGAGGCAAGAGCCAGCTGTGGGCCTCAGGCTCCTCTCTTATGACGTGAGGCAAATGAATCCAGCAGCCTTGTTGTCTTGGGGACCTGATCTGTGTCAGGCATGTCAGTTTGAGCTGTAACTGGCTCTTTTGTGCTTTTGCTCTGTGGGCACAAAAGTCCCCCAAGCCAGGTACTGAGGGGACCCAGGAAGAGGACAGGGGAGGTGGTTAGATCCTTGCCATGTGTGGATTAAGTCTGAGTGGGCCAGGGTCCCTGAACCCTGGCTCCAGAGGAGGATGGTGACCTGTGGCCGGGGTGGGGCTGATAAGGTCCCCATCAATCACCTGTGTCTGTTTCCCTCAACTGGGCCTTCTTCCAGCTGCCCAGTGGCCTCTGGATCCTGGAGGAAGGTAGGTGTCAGCTGGCCCTGAACAGAAACCTTGCTGGAGGGCATAGGGGTGGGTGAGGGTCAGAGCGAACTGAGGCCCAAGGAGGGGCAGTTCTAGCCTGGTGCCACCCAGAGGTCTTGTGCTGGCTCCAGCCGGGGCTTTGCTTGGTGCCTGGGGTGATGGGTAGCCCTTGGGAGGAGCTGTGGGCTCTGCCTCTGTTGGGCTGCAACTTCAGTACATCTATCCAGCCCTTCTTTTGGCCTCAGTTTCTCCAAGGATAAAGTGATACCTTACTAGCCCAAACCCTCCCCCACCCTGCCCTGTTGCACAACAGGGCAGGTGGAAGGTCCCAGCCTGCGGCCTGCCTGCTGGAGAGCTAGCTCTCCCTCTACTCTCCCACCCCCAACTTAGCCTAAAGCCAGAAAAGCAAACATCCTGGCTAGGTTCAGGCTGAAAGGGGATGTGGTAGAGCCTTGCAGAGGGTGGTATGTGTGCTCCCATTGGGACCCCCACCTCACTCTCTGTGGTGGAGATGGGGAAGGGGAGTGGGCCGTACAGTGGGTGGGAAAGAACATGGAAACCCTCTCCACCCCCTGTTAAATATAAACCCGAGGCCCCTCCTACCATCCTTCCCTTTAGGCTGTGTGGTCTCGATAAGCAGCAGGGTGGCTTAAGCCAGTGCCCTCAAGCCCCACAGCAGCTCTCTCCAGCTCAGAAGAAAAAGTCGTAGACTCCCGTGGGGGTCCCTACCTCATCTTTAAGCAGAAGCAGTCTGGATTTTCAGGTGGAAGGGGTTAGGCAGTAAAAGGGCTGGTGGAGGGAGGGAGAGGGGGATTTGGGGTCTCAGAACCTACAGTACCAAAGTCCCAGATGTGGTTGCTGGGCCCTGCCCTTCTGTGGGCTGTGGAATGGACTAGGCCCCAGAATCTGCATGTTCCACCCCATCCCCCCAATTCTAGTGGGAAGGGCTGGTCTGGAAGGCTGAATTGCTGTTGGGCATGGGGGTAGGCATTTTGTGGAGTGGTGGCAGGGAAAGCTTCCTAGTGGCCTGCTAGATAGTCTGGCAGTAGCCCAGGTAGTTGCCTGCTGACACTTCCTTTTGGACAGACTGAGGGTTGCTGCTTCCAGGAAGGTTGACAGGGGCCCTGGGTCTGGTCAAGTCCCATGGGGCTCCCAAGGGTTCTGTGTCTGTTTCCTGAGGCTGGGAACCCTTCGGGCCTCCTGAATCTCCTTCTCATCCCCAGTTCTCCTGCTGCCAAGATGCTGTCACCACGGACAGTGACCCCTGGGCCAGAGCTGCAGAGCCCCAAGGAGCCTGAGCTGAAAACCCAGACCCCAGCTCAGGTTACTGGGCAGATCAGCAGTGGAAAGGAGCCCAACGCCCACCAGGAGGATACCACAAGGCCAGGCCTGGACACCCTGAAGCGGGCCTTCTCCTGGGCAAGCCAGAAGGCCTCTCAGGCTTCCAAGGAGGACCCAGGCTGGCTCAGGCGAAGCTCCCTGTTCCGGTCTTTCCGGCGAACTCCGGATGAAGGTCCAGCTGCTGGCCACTCCCAGGGGGCTGCTACGGCAAAGGAGCTGTGTGTGTTCACAGATGGTGTCAGCCAGCAGGCATCCACTCGGGTGGGGCCTGGAGACCTGGAACCTGAGGCAGGTGAGGGCCTCACTGACAACACTGAGCAAGAGAGGAAACTGAGCCAGAGGAGGCAGCTGCTGAGCCAGGGCTTCCAACAGCCTCTCGTTGAGGCCCAGCTCCCTCAAACCCTGCCTTCTGCACAACCTCACTTCAGGTTCTTAACAGTGTCTTAGGTGAAGCCCCCACTAGGCAAATGAGAAAAGTGAGGCTCACTTTAAGTGGCTTCCTTCCAGCCACACAGCTGGAGAAGCAGAGAAATGAGATTTGAAACAGGATTTGCATGACTACAGAAGCCTCTGCACAGATGTTCACAGCCTGGTTCCTGGTCAAACCAGGGCACCCACCCTCTCTGATTAGGGAGTCACAGAGGGTGTAGAGGAGGCTCTGGGACTGCCCAGAAGAGGACAAATTGGACCCTGAAAGAAGGATGCAGGTAGAAGAGGGCTCCTGGGCGTGGGGCTGACAGGGAGCCAAGCAGCCAGAAACATTGACTCTAGATGCTGGGGCAGAAGCCTGGGCATCACAGGACACATGCGGCCAGAGATCTGACCTATTACACTTGCCATCTGGGCTGCACATGAGGCCACTAGGGCTAGCTCCACAGAGCAAGGAGGAAGGTATGAACTGCAAGTGGGGAGAGCAGAGACTGGTCCAAATTGCTCTTTCCAGCCAGGCTTGGGTCTCCGGTCCTGTTTCTACCAATGTGATTATGAGCAAGGGCTCCTGGCAGGTGAGGCTGCCTGTGAAGGTTTTCAGCTGGGCCCAGGGCGGTCAAGGGAGGGACTGGGCTGCCCTGGGCAGGATTTGACAGGGACCTCCAGGTCTCAGTTCAGCCCAGGGTCCCGGGGTGGTTCATCTCACTACTCCTCTTGTCATCTGCCCTTACAGAAGGCAAATCCGTGGCTGACCTCATCACTGAGCGGCAGCTGCTAGCTGCTTTCGAACAGCTCCGGTACCTGGAGACAAAGCTAGTAACAGAGAAAGCCTCTCGCACCTTTGAGCAGGACCCCACCGCCTTTGCGCGGCGCGCCATGGACGTGTGCCTACATTACGATGGGCTGGCGGCGGAGATTGGCGCCATCGTGCGCGAGACATTGGGTCCCGAAGGCATAGACCAGGCCGCGCTTGCTGAAGTGGCCCGGCTGGTGCGCGCAGAAGAGGAGGCCCACCCGGAGCTCCCAGCCGACGGCGACTTCCTGCGCACACCTCGCCACTGGCGCCAGCACTGGGAGGACGCGGTGCGGCGCAGCGCGCAGGAGCGAGTGCAGCGGTCAGACGCCGGGGGGCTGACTTCTGAGCCTGACAAGGGCGCTTCCGACCTAGCTCAGCTTCTGGCAGAGCTTGGTGGCTTGGTTCGAGGTGATCTGCAGAAGGTGCGGCTGGTGGTGCAACCGGCTTACGCGGCCGCCGGCTTCCCAGCGTGGGAAACCTACCTCCGCGCCTTCCACAGTGCGGTGGCCCAGCGCCTGCAGGAGCTCGCGCAAGCCGCCCGCGGCTGTGAGCAGCTCTACCTTTTGCTGGACTGGGCAGCCAATGTCTATGGCAGGTGAGGCCAGAGCCACTGCGCCACAGGGCGAGAAAGGACTCAATTGGAGGCCTTGGGAAACTTGCCCCGGGTTCCTTTCTTCTTCATTCTCTCCCTGGGAGAGAGCTGGTGAAACCCTCCCTGCCCCTCACAGGGACTTTGGCATTCTTTCCTTCCTGTTAGGCTGTGACTCCCACCCCAGCCTTTCCTAGGGACCCACTCCTGAGCAGCTTCCTGAAGCTGGAAAGTCTCCGTGGAGAGATTCCCATGGGAGCAGGGAGCCCAGTTAGAGGACTTATGCTAGTGCACAAGGTGCCTGTGTGTACCATAGAGAAAGGCACTTCTCCAGGCAGGACACCCCTGTGGGTTCACAGCCTCAGTGTAGGCTGACCCCCACTTTCCCCATCAGATGGGAACCCAAGTGCAGGGTACAACCTATTGAGGTTTCCACCTCTAGCTCTGAGAAGTGATGGGGGCGGATTACCTCTCAGAACCAATGGTTCCCAGCATCAGAGGCAGGGATGCCTGGGGATGAAGGCTGCCTGAAAATCCTGGGTTCCTTAAATTGCTGTATTGACCTCAGGCTGGTACCAGCCCCTCTCTGGTGTGGGTTGGATGGAGATGGGTCCCTGAGCTGTACTCTGTGTGTGTGTTGCTTAGAGCCGAGTCTTGGGTGTAGGCCAACCATGAGGGTAGAGGTCACCACTGAGGCAGCCTGGCAGAGGTCCATTTGGACATCTCTTTTCAGAGCAGGCACAGCTGCTGGAATGCCAGGAAATCCAGCGGTCAGAAGCTTCCGGGGGAGGGAGTTAGTGGCATGCACCCTTAGAGGGCAGGGGTGGTGGATGGGGATGCAATGTGTGAACAGAAATCCAAGCTCAGGGCCCTGCGCAATACCTTTAGACTGTGAGCCTATTGTAAGGGGGGACTCCCTGCAGCATTGGAGCCCAACCCAGGCCAGCACCCCCACTTCACGGTTTTCCAGCCCTGACTTCCTGGGCGCCCCGGACCTGGCACTGCTCACGGAACCGCTGCCCCCACTCCTAGCGCCTGACGTGTGGGCTCGACTGGAGAGCGACTACACCAGTTTCTTGGAGGTAATGCCAGTTGGGCCTGGATCCAGGGGCAGAATCCTGGGGGAGGGTGGTCCCAGGAGGGCGCAAGAGGGGTTCTGGAGGCGGGTGGGGGACAGAACCCCCTCCTGGAAGGGTCTCACGGTAGCCTTAT